TAAGGAAAGAATTAGACTATATAAAATCTACTTTATGCCGAGTTTCTCAAAAAACAATAAGATATAATTGAAGATGATTATATGTCCAAATTTTAATACTTGGCTTCAGTGCATGTATTCATAATAAAAATGTTGTTGGAACCTCGGTTTGCTTCAATATGTGACACTTTTGAATTCCTTTCCAAGAGATTTTTGGCATATGAACTTGCACATTAAGAGCACAGTAGGGGAGAAGTCTTTTGCTTATTTGCCTGCCTACAAATGTATAATTAAAAGTGTATCAGCAGGGGTTAGGACAATCAGTGTGCTCTGATGCTTCATGTTATAGAATTACTTTGTTGTTCAAACAGATACTGTAATTAGAGAATAATTTTAAACTTCATCAGGCAGTGACTCATCAAATTTCTTTTATCAAAAAAAAATCACAAACAGTAGTTTCTCAAATGATAAGAATTTATTGCTTTTTATTTTTATGTGTCACTGTGTACAACAGCTTTAAAATGAAGTGGATTTTATTTTATTAAAAAGAAATGATATTATTTACTTATGGGCAATATTAATGTCTTAGTAATAATGTTTAAAATATGCATTGTGTTTAAGGCCACATTTTAGTTTTAATAACCTTACCTATTTAAAGATTGGGGGGATTCTATGTGTTTAAGTTAAACGGCTACGGATTTATCCTTTTTTAATATTTCTGTCATTCAAATTAGATAGATCTCTCATTTAGGAAAAACAAAATTTTGTAGGTGCAAGAGATGTTTTACCAAGTACATTTCTCCCAGTTCTTGATATTCTTCATGACTTACTCAAGAATTTATTTATGGGGAAAGGAGTGGCTTGGAATTAGGAGATAGGACCAATATGGAAAAAAAAAAAAATCTTTCATGTATTTCTTTGTCTGCAAAGTCTCTACTGAATCAAAAATTCTGTGAGAGTATGACATGCTTAGAATTGCACACAAAAATGTTAATAAGGTTTAAAAAAAAATCTAAACTGGACATGGTGGCATGCTCTTGTGGGAGGAGGGCGGCGGGGAGGGGGAGGCTAAGGTTGGGTGGATGGCTTCAGATAAGCCTGGACAACAGAGTGAGATGCTTCTCTCACACACACACACACGCTGAAAAAAGAATTCTAAAGATTCAAGAACTCTGTTTCTGGTCTTTCACTAATTTATTTTGCTTATCTTGGGGCAGTTTACTTAACTAGGAAGCTGATGTAGGTGATGATGTATGCTAGGAGTTAGTGGCCAAGATGGCAGGCTCTGTTGTGTGATCTGGGTGGAGAAGAACTTTGGTGTAGCTTGGGCAAGCCACATCTGTCTAACAATAACAATGGTAGTCCCACAGTCATATAGTTTAGTTAGGAGGATATAATGACACGGCATATTTTATTGCTTAGCATTGTACTTGATAAGTAGTAAGTGTTCAATAAAAGCTTAGTTGCCGTTATCATGATCACCATCATTGTTCTTATTAAATTTATAATTACCTGAGAGGCTGTTACTTGAAATTCATTTATGCTTTGTTCATTAAGAATGTACACAATAAATTACCATTAGTAATTATGTCTTTGTTCTTTTATTGGGTGCAAATGGTATTATAAAATTATTTAATATGATACTAAACTTTAATTTACTATATAAAGCTGTTTTCCATTTCCTTGAATCTTCTCATCATTTATTCTGACCTCAACTATCAAACCTTAACTATACATACACATATAGTAATGTTATCTGATTTGTCTTTGCTGTCACATTGTTATATTGAGCAATAACTCTTGTCGTTTTGAAAAGATTTCCTAAAAAAATTGTTTTCATTCCCATTTTCTTCTTTCTTTGTGGGTTTGTACATTTTAAATTCTGATTTTCTTAAGTTGGCTTTTAAATTCTTGAATTAAGAGTGTACACTTTTGCCAAGGTACTTAGCAACTCAAATTTATTCCTTCTGTAAAGTGCAGTGGCAAATTATACTGCAGCTTTGTTCTGTGTTTCTATAATGCAGGTAATATCGCCTTTTTAAGTTCTTTGGTTTTTTTCTTCACCATTGTATAAATGTTTCATGGCAAGTCACAGTTTCAGCTTTTATGCTAAAGCTTTTCTGACTTACTCTAAATTATTAATGTTCTTTAGTTATCCCTGTGTAGTATTTATGTGCGCTACTCTTAAACACATACTTAATCTCACTAAACACAGAATAGCCTTTAATTGTCTTTAATTACTAATTAATACATATTATGTTTATATAAAATATCAGTTGTGGTTTGATTTAATTTTTTTTTTTTAATCTCTGGCATTTGCCTGTGTCTTTGAATGCCTGTTAATTTCTGATTAGTTATCAGATAGTACGTGTGGATATTTTTATATTTCTATAAATACCCTTCAGCTTTGTTCTGGGACAGTTAAGTCATTTGGAAAGTTTGGTCCCTTTAGGTTTTGGCTTTAAAATTTATTTGAGCAGCACTGGAACAGTGGGCAGACTAGATTTAATTGTTGCCTTTACTATAGCAGGACCCTTTAGTGTACAGTTTCTGAATCCCAGGAAGTCTTTTCAGTCTGACTCCATATGAAAACTAGGCCCTTTGTTACCTTGAGTCCTGGAAGCAGTTTGTTTTATAAGCCTCTGGAGTTTCCTGCCAGGCTGCACTGGTGTTTTTGGGTGGAATGCTCTGGGCCTTTGGCTGTTTCCCAGTGTTGTTGTACAGGACTTGGTTGTGTGACCCCAGCTGTGCTAGTCTTTTCCACTCAGGGAGAAGTCAGTCAGGGAGGGCTCACTCGTGTCTCCGCCCCAGGTCTTTTCATTGTCACTGATCTTAGCTGCCTGATGTCTATTGGCTTAAAATTGTTGTTCATTTGTTTTACTTGCTTCTAGTGGGATTATACATTTGGTTCTTATTTTTCCTTGGCTGGAAGCAAAAATCCCTTATGATGATGGATTTAGACAAAAAGGCACACTTTCAGTATATACCAAATAATGCCAGTAACTAGTCCATGTAAAAACACAAATTTTGGTGGGAAAATATTATTAGCAATCTTCAACATTAAAATTAACATTTGTGTTTAAAAATTGAGCAACAGTGAAAATATTTATGCACATTTTATATTCTTCGCAGATGACCCCATAGTTCCCAGTTCTTGATTGAACTGGTTTCTCATTTAGTTTTTTCATAGTGCTCCCTAGGGGAAAATGAATCTCTTATAGTTCTATTATTTACTTTCTAAGTAAATAATAAATAGAACTATAATATCTGTATCAAAACTTTTTTTTTTTTCAGTACTAAGAATTGAACTCAGAGCTTCCTGTGTGCTCGGCAAGCAACTCTACCACTGAGTTACATCCCCAAACTTTGTTTAAAAAAAAAAAATGCATTTCAAGACGGGGTCTTGCTAAGTTGTTCTGACTGGCCTTGAATTTGTAATCGTCCTATCTCAGCCTCCTGAGTAGCTTGAATTATAGGCATGTGCCACTGTGCCTGGCTTTAGAACATCTTAAATTGAAGGAAAAAAATGATTTTCTAAATGACCACATTATTTATTTTTAAATAATCACATTATTTATTAATAGCATCTGTGTTTTCTTGGGGGCCATTCAAGTTCTAAACCTCAGAATCAGATTGGACACCGCCACCTTCTTATACTCTGCTGAGTTTTTCAGACTTGCTTTTTGTAATAGCAATGATAGACCTAGCTTTGTGCATGTGTATCATTACTAAATGGAATGGGGTGTGATCTAATGTTGAAACAGACATACTTTGAGCTAGTAGTTCATAAGTGTCAATAGATGTGATTATAGCTCCAATTCCCTGAAATTTCACGTATCCTGGATCTTGTGAGTCCACTCTACTGCCTCCTATACTTGGGGAAACATGAATGTTCTTATCTCTTATAACATGTAGATACGTTTTCCCACTGAAGATATTAGCTGAAAATAAAGTAGAAGTACATACTTAACTGTTCAGACATTTCTGTCCTCATTGGGTAAGCTCATTCATGTGAGTTGTACAAAAGTTGTATCCTTATACCAGTTTTACTTTATTGGATTGGAATCTCACATTTAGTAAAATAAATACATGAGTAGATTCAAGATAGAGGTCTAATAACAACAAAGGTAATATTTATTGTTTGTTTGTGGTACTTTGGTCTGAGCCACATCCATTTCTGTATAACATTTGTATGTTACCTATTTATAAATTTATATTCTTTGTTTTTTATGTTTTAAAATTTATAAATTGTATTTGCATTACCTCTAAAACTTAAAGCAAGAATTAGCTCTGCAATTCTGAAATGACCCAATTTAGATAATAGGTTTTTGTAGTGTGCTCTTCCTAGTTCTCCCTGTGGTGTCAAGGTATCAGTGTGAGGGTCCTCCTCACTAGGAGACTAGACGTCATTAAGGAAATTGGGCACATAGTGTCTGAAAAACTGTATTAATTACTTGATATAATGAAAGAGAGGCCTTATAGTTGATTTTAAAAAAGTCTAATGGAAATATAGTTATAACTTATTATTTCTTGTGGATTATAATAAAATGTTTCCATAATTATTACTTCAAATACTTAAGTGTAATACTTCTTTTACACTATAATGTCTTGTTTGCAAAATATTTTTTTCTGCTGTTGAGTACAACTAATGTTATTAAACAATTGTGATGAAGTGGAAATTTTACCGAGTTTGAGAATTCTTTGATTCATTTTTATACTGACTGTTTATTTCCCGTGTGTTCTTTGTAAGTGACGTGCTTAATCTTGATGACTTTCTGTTTACTCATAAGTAATTTATAGAAATAACATGCTTCTCAGAGTGTTCTTCATGGTAATCTATGGATGATGCCATATGTAAGTTTCTTCATTTTGGCCAGGAAAATAATTCAGAAGGTTTCTAATGTTATTTTAGCAAAATAATGCAAACATGACTTAAATTGTTGGCAACAGATTCACAATATGAAGGATACACTCTCTTTAAAGAAAAATAATTGTAAGAGTGTACTTTGTAAATTTTTTAGGAGGAGCAAAATAGAGGCAAACCCAATTGGGAGCATCTAAATGAAGATTTACATGTACTAATCACTGTGGAAGATGCTCAGAACAGAGCAGAAATAAAACTGAAGAGAGCAGTTGAAGAAGTGAAGAAACTACTGGTACCTGCAGTAAGTAATAATTTCCAAATCTTAGATTTGGGCCTTATTTCCTATCTTCAGTTTAATTTTAGATTATCATAATATTTATCTGTTTTTTATTATTGTTGTTGTTATTGTTTTGGTACTGGGAATTGAACTGATGGGAATGCTACCACTGAGCTACATCCCAGCTCTTTTTATTTTAAGTCAGAATATCAGTAAGTTGCCCAGGCTGACCTTGCATTTGGCAATCCTCCTGCCTCAGCCTCCTGAGTCTCTGGGATTACAAGAATGCACCACCATCCATGGTTTTGTAATGTTTATCTTAGTAGACAGACAATGGGTTATTATTTGGTAGAGATTTTTATTTAACCACAAAATAAAAATATATTAACTCATTAAATATAACAAGCAAACATGGATATTGCTCAAATCCTTAAATGGGAAAGTCTTTATTTTTGGAAAGGAATTGATATGGGGGGGAAGCAAATTTAGTTAATAACCTCTCCTTCTCACAAATAATATTCACCTGCTGAATCTTTTTTTTTTTTTTTTTTTTTTTTTTCTTTTTTTCTTTTTTTAATGGTACTAGGGATTAAACCCAAGGGCGCTTTACCACTGAGCCATATCCCATTCCTTTTTTTTTTGTTGTTTTGTTTTATACTCCCAGGAACAATTTTTTTTTATTTTTATTATTGGTTGTTCAAAAAATTACATACTTCTTGACATATCATATTTCATATATTTGATTCAAGTGGGTTATGAACTCCCATTTTTACCCCTTATACAGATTGCAGAATCACATAGGCTACATATCCACTGTTTTACATATTGCCATACTAGTGTCTGTTGTATTCTGTTGCCTTTCCTATCCTCTACTATCCCCCCTCCCCTCCCCTCCCATCTTCTCTCTCTACCCCCTCTACTGTAATTCATTTCTCCCCCTTGTTTTTTTTTCCCCTTTCCCCTCACTTCCTCTTATATGTAATTTTGTATAACAATGAGAGTCTTCTTCCATTTCCATGCAATTTCCCTTCTCTCTCCCTTTCCCTCCCACCTCTCATCCCTGTTTAATTAGTTGTTCTCCTTATATCGAAGAAGACATTTGGCTTTTGTTTTTTAGGGATTGGCTAGCTTCACTTAGCATAATCTGCTCTAATGCCATCTATTTCCCTGCAAATTCCATGATTTTGTCATTTTTTAGTGCAGAGTAATACTTCATTGTGTATAAATGCCACATTTTTTTTTTTTATCCCTTTCTTTCTTTCTTTCTTTCTTTTTTTTTTTTTTGGAGATAGGGTCTCACTAGACTGCTTACTGCTTCACTAAGTTGCTGAGGCTGGCTTTAAACCTGCCATCCTCCTAAGCCACTGGCATTACAGACTTGCAACACCATAGCTAGCTGAATCTTTTTTTTATTATAGGGAAAAATGTAAGTACAACATCAATATAGTGATGGCAAGCATTTGGGGGGAGGAGCAAGTAATGAGTGTGCAAAAGTCTATGCAATTCATGCTGGATGAGCTGAGTTAGCATAATATTTGACTTGTCTGTGGTACCATATCATTGTTTCCCACAGAAAGGTTAATGTTCATTAGTAAGACTTTTCTATAATAAAATGCTTTTTTAAATAAAAATAAAAGCTAGATTTTACTGATATACCAGGCAACATTTTGAGCACTTTTCATACTGCACTGTTATTTCTGAAATATTGAAAAACTATTAAAGTTATATTTAAGAGTCCGAGATAAGTGAAAGTAATTTTGGATAGTGACATAAGAAATTATCCAGACACCTTTGTGTTCTCCAAATTATCCCCAAACCCTTCCATTTTCTGCCAGTTCTTCCCTCAGCTGTTTCTCATTGTTGCACGTCTGTTTAGTAACATTAGAAATGATAATGGAACTATTGATTACCCGAGTATTAGCTTTCAGTGGGAAATGAAAAATAAATTATTATTAGTTTTCTGTGTCATTATCAAAATGTTTTTTCATTAAGAAAAAAAGAAACTAGAACTACTGCTTGTATTGTGTCCAAAAAAAAGTCTGTTAAAAAAAATCTGTTAGCAGATAACTGCTGTTTTTAATTTTCCTGATAATCTGGAAGTTAATTCACACATCATTAACATTTTATATTAATTTGACAAAATTAAAAACTTGAGTTTCATTTAAGTTTTATTGATAGTTATGGAAGGAATATATGCAGACAGGTTAAATGGAAACTAAAATTTATATTTACACACCATTAAACCATGTAAAATCTTCCTCCTTTTCCTTAATATGAAAAGCTGCATAGAAAAGGAGATTTTTAAGAATTTAATAAGTTATTAGTTTTATGATCAGAAGCTGTTTTTAGCCTTAAACTTTATTGATAAGTATATCCAAAACTACAGAGTTCATGTATTATACTAAACGAATAAGTTTATCTAGTAAAGCCAATAAATCAGTGTATAATAGCAGTATTATCAACCAATTAGATTATTTTAATCATCTTTCAATAAGTTTCTTTAGTTCTAAAAGGTAATAACCTGGGAAAGAGTATTGAATTAAAAGCTGTGTTTTCTTGAGAAAGTTGTTACTAATTTCTCTGTATTTACTTACATACAAGTTACAGTTGGAGCAAAGATCTTGAAAAACCCTGTTATTTCAAAAATTGTCTTCCGGGTGAGCCCTCACTTAGCATGTCTGAGTCCTTTGGTTTGATCCCTACCACTATCATCAAAAAAAAAAAAGCCTCGGAATATGTAAACATGGAAATAGATTTTTTTAAGAAAATTTATACATATCTTAGAGGAAATGATGATAAATTTATATCCTGTGGAAGTATTTTTAGGATTACTGTTATTAAACAGTAATAATTTCAAAGAGCATAATTTAAAATTATTTTCTTTTTGTAATGAAATATTCTTAGAGTTTCAGATAATAGAATAAAAATAACATACTCTAAGGTATGAGTTCTATACAGTGACTTAGACTTGCAATAATTTTTATTATTGTTCACTTTATTGATTATGTATATTATAACCTGGATGCTCTATTATAGAATTTATTTAATTTAAGCTGAATGCTGTTGTACATTTGTGATGATGATACCAAGAAAAATAGAAATTTAAACCAAAGAAAAGCTTTACTATCCTTGGCTTTTGCATAATTGACTAATATCATTAAACTTAGCCAGAAAGAAAATGATGTTTGATTTAAATGCCATTAAATGTCATTTATATTAACATGTGAGTAAATCCTTCTCGTGTTAAACGAAATTCATCATGATATAACATTGAGTGCTATGCTGTGGACATTTTGTATGTCATACCAAATGTTGTCTGGTCATATCAACTTCTGAAACTTAAAAAATGGTCAGTTCTAGTTGTAGGGTTTTGGGATCTGTTATCATGGGGACGTCAGTGATCATTGAAGTAATCTAGCCTCTATCACCTAAAACAATTTAAGGCATCTGATTTAATTTTCTTTAAGCAGTTTTTTTCTATGGCACTAAGCTACAAAGTCATGATGTTAATTTTTCTCTCTTTCATATTCTTTTTTTTTGTTTTGTTTTTGGTGGGGAGTGGAATCACAATGTCTAGTTTGTGAGTTCGTTGTTTTAAATTCCCCTCTGATTGTATTCTATTATACACTGAAGTTGATGGGCTTTTTGCTGGAAATAGTTGTAGAACCAATTTTCATAGTCTGATATTACACATTTGGTAGTCTGATATAATTATCTTACTTTGATATAAGGATTTGTAATGAGAATACCATGGCATCATTGTTGACTTTTGTAGACCTACTTTTCCAACCCACATCATGTGTTCTTCCACAGTATACGTGTTCCCCTGATCATAGCAGACATCATAAACATTGTAGTATCTTCTTTCCCTGTTTAACCAGAAAGCTATAATCTCTTGTCTGGCAAATTATTTTTATTTCTAGTACTTAACATAATGCCCCGCATATAGTAGTAACATAGTAAATATCTGAAAAATGAATGAATAGTTGAATTTTGTAATAAGGTTACTATGTTAGATTTCTGTTAATATAACAAATAGCTGAGATGAATAACTTATAGAGAGAAAAGGTTAATTTTGCTCGTGGTTTTAAAGGTTTCAGTACATGATCAGGTGAACCCATTGCTTTTAAGGCCTCTGGAGTATCAGATGGCAATGGCATAGAACCCATGGCCAAGAAAACCTACTCAGACTATGTCCAGGAATCAAGACAGGAAGAGGAAAGTGTGAGGTACTGCTGTTCCCTTGGAGAGCGTGCCATCAGTGATATAAAGAAATCCCAGTAGCACCACTCTAGGGACCAAACCTTTGTCACGTGGTACTTTCGAAGACTTTTAAGATTCAAACTGTAGCATTCTCCCCATCTCCCAAAGGTTTGGAGTCTTAACTTTCAGCATTTTTCAAAAGTTCTAGGCTAAAATCTCACCCAAGTCTTAAGGCAAACTCAGTTGTGAGTGCCTATAGAAATAAAAAACAAATTATACACTTTTAATGTACGATGTTGGGACAGGCACAATGTATACATTCTCATTACAAAAGAGTAAGAGAGGACTAGAAAGGAAGGATCACACTAAAGTAAGACTGACAGTAGGGCAAACGTTAAATCCTATTGTTCTTTGTACAACATCTGGGACACATTGGTGGAATGTGTTCCCAAGGACTTAAAATAGCATTGTAACTTTGCAGACACACCCCCACATGACCATTTCCTAGGGCTGCCTCTTCTTGTTGCATGTAGCTTCCCCTGGCAGATGTCCTGTGTTGCCAACACCTATGTCTTCCTGGGATCTACACTGCAACTTTAGCTTCACCACCACAGTTCCCTGCATCCTCATCAGGGTCTGCTTGCAACTCTTGGATTCTGCATGATTGCAAAACCAGCATCACAGACAACACCAGGATCTGCTGCTAGTTGTTCTTCTACCTTAAAATTTTCTTTGCCAAATAAAGTAGTCTGTCACCTTCAAGTTCAGCCTCCCACAAAATTTCAGGACATGGAAAAAATGCAGCCAGATTTGTAATAAGG